AAGGTCATGGTGAAAATTTGATTTTTTTTTTTTTTGCCATTGGATGCATCTTCCACATAGGAATTTCTCCATGTTACTGATGGAAAAGGGGATGAAACACAAAGTGAAGATGGCACCAGAGTAAATCTTGACCAGTAGCCTGTCCTAAGTCTGTTTTGCATATATACTGCCTCTACTTCCTAGCTAATAGAAAAACAACTTCTTTTGTTCACCTCTTCTCCCAGAAATAGTAGGCAGGCTTTATAGCCTCCATTCTTGTTTGTTTGTTGTAAATTCTCTTATGAATCTTCAATTAGATGTCCTATTCTGTGTTTTGCAATGTGAACAATTAAATAAGACAAGTAATAACTAAATATCATCTTGCTGTGTAATTAATATCTGTTTTTCTTCCCAGAAGCAATAGAAAGCAGACGGTAACATATTTAGATAAAAGTTTGTATTTCAAAACAATACAACTAAAATGAAAAAATAGAGGCTGAACAAAATTACATGTTATTCACATCTATAATGAGCATGCTATTAAAACATCGGAAGATTTCACACTTGATTTTTATCCACAAGTCTTTCAACTACATGAGAACAGTATGCAAGAAGCTTGCTAAATCCTGACATTCTCAAAGTCTACTGTGTATGATCCAAGATGGTGAGAAATGCATCTGACTGATCTAAAGCTGCTGAACATTTTCTTTTTAAAAAGCTCATGATTACCCTGCTAAACCCCCCCCTCCCAAAATTTCTCTCTTTTTTTCCTTTAAAACAATAAGTATCATTCTTCAAATCACAGCAACTTGCCAGTGGTTCTATAAACAACCATCTGCCTTATTGTATCTGCTCTGCTTTTCACTGTTTATCAATTTAAAAATGTAAAACACATTTATCAACACATTTATCAACAATGTAACATACTCCCATCTGGGTTTTATGAGACAATCATCACTTCTTTCAAGAAACATGCTAACAATAATTATGAAACTATCTCTGGACCCTCTGAGTACTGTCATGTCACTCTGATGAACCAACCTACTGCCAATTGCTGCCTACAAACTAGAAAAGTTCACTGATGCACATCTGACATAATATCTTCAGTAAAAAGTCTTTAAAAGCAGCAGACTTTTAAAGTAGATTTAACATATGCAAATGAATATTGCATGCAGCCAAGACATGCATTTATATTTAAATATAACTTTTCTGAGGTAGTATTAAGTGGTCTTCATTCTTTCCTAAACTATCACACTAAAATATGATTGATTGTCTCCCCATCTCCTTTGATCTCAAAAACTGGTGAAGGTAAACAGATTAACAGTTAAATGCTTTCTGACAGTACAAAGTAACTGTAAAAATATATTCAAGTTTATTACATTTTCTCTGTATTCCTCACCTCCTGTTTTATTAAGGACATTTCCTTGAAAACAAACCTTTTGAATTCTGGGTCCAAACATAGTGGGGGAAAAGGAATCCAACCTCAAACTTAGAGGTGGTATAGGTATTTGAGCCTATAGTAAAGCTTACCAATTGAAATTAAATTTACCAATTTCTGTCATTTGTCAAAAGATTTTTTTTCAGTTTAAAGAAAATGTAGTTAATTCATTTCCAAAAATGAAGCTATGGGAAAATATTGGTTTTACCATTTTTTTAAAATTGTATTTGTCACTCAGAACTTTAGTGCCACCATGCTAGAAACTAGAACTTAAAATTTAGCAAGAAGTTGCAACCTTACTTCTAGTAATTTTTTTTAAATATTTACTTTGCAGTCTTAACATTTAACATACCATTGGATGTACCCTTTATTTAAGCATGGATGATCAATTTATTTGGCATTTTCTAACAGTTAAAGGAATAGAAAGTCCTTGCCTGTGTCAGATACTTAAAGCTTAAATAGTGCTTGAGCCCATTTAAAACAATTCCGCTAAATGCCAATAGAAAATAGGCACCACAAAATTGAGCAGAAAAAAATGAAAACCATGGAACAATATGAAAGATTTGGAAAGTATAAGTAAGTAATATAATATTAACATTTTAAAGTAACTTTCTTTTGCACTCAAGGCTGTGCCATTCATAAGTGAACTGTCTTTTATACTATGAAGCCAAATTCTGTACTAAATTGAGGGAAAAAAATATTTTGCACTCCCAAGAAAATAAGACTTTACTACCATTAAAAATAAAAAACAGATAGGTGAAAAGGCCAAAAGCATATCAACGTAATTTTGTTTAATTGATGGTAAAGACTACATACTTAATTAGTCAGGTAGTCAGAGTTCATTGGAAAAGTGATTTTAAAAACCCCTGTATTTGCAAAGAAACAGGAACTAATTATCAATGCAACTACAAAAGACCCCTGCTGCAAATCTACAGATTTTTCTGACTATCCGGAAACTCTTATTCACAAGAGTATTTCAACAGAGGTTATTCACAAGAGTTTGGCTTGCTGGATTGGGTCATAAATCCTATCAGATATACATGTGGCCGATCATCAGGCTTCGGTTCATTTGTAAGAAACTGTTCTGTAAGCTGCACATTGTTTATGCTCTCATTAATTTAAATGTTTCTTCTATTTATACTATGCAAATTGCTCCATTCTCTGAGTTGTTCAAACAAATGATGTGCTTTGCAACCAAAAAGCAAATTAGTAGCATGTGAAAACTTATTTTGTAATGATTGTGAAACCAAGCAGATCTTTAAGTTAAAGAAGCAGTAGAGTAAAAGAAATCGCATTTTAACATTTTAGAGAACTTAACTATAGTTTTACCCTTAATTCTGAATAGTAACCTTTTCACAATATGTAAATACATGAAACACCTTTAAGGTTAATTTACTTTATGATAAACTTGAGCTATATTATGCTCAAGGCCCCTACCTTCTGAGTTAGGACCAGACTTTTGCAACAGTGTAAAAACAGCATTAATATATTTAATTATATTTTATTTGGTTTATTTCAAAACCATAAGAATTTTCCGATCAAGGTGTTTCAAAATTTTATATATATAATTTTAAAGGCTCCCCATTTCTGTGCTACACAAATTAAATGTTTTCTGACCGGAGGTGCACCATTTATAGTACTTATGAAAAGTATCATATGCATTTGGGATGTGAAAAGGTATGGGGGGTGGGTTTCTCCATCACCTCCCCTTTCTCTCCAATCTGCAGGAAGAGTTTCCTTTCTTTCTAGCCCTGCTCTTGACCCATAAAAATTGCTCCAAAATCCTGTTTTATGTTCAGTTAGCCCTACTTTGAGTAGAGCTCTGCAGACCCTACTCCTTTGACTTTACAAGAACTTCTTCTCTTCTTTTCTAGTCTACAAAATCAGTGGGTCCAACCATCTGTGCTCTAGAGTCAATCAGGAGGAAAAGATGACAGCCACTCCGCTTACTTCTGCATATGTACCTGTATTTCTACATATGTACAGTGTCTGTATATTACATTGTATGTGTACAGCATCTACAGAATTTCTCAGAATGTACAATAGTGTAAAAGTGATGTTGTAGCTGTCATGGTTCAGATATTATGCAAGAGGCAAGGATTTCTTAGGGTGATATCTTTTATTGGACTAACTACATATCTATGTCTATGTCTATAGTTGGTCCAATAAAAGATATCACCCTAAGAAATCTTTTCCCCTTGGAACACACCAAAATTCCTGTTATAACTAGTAAAGACCATGTCACTATAGATGTTTAGTTCTAGTAAGTACACCCTTGGAACCAGCACTAACACCAGATAAACTAAAACTAAAAACAAACAAAAAACAAACAAACCCTCTTTTCCAATAAATTGAATTACATTTCTTAATTTCTCTGTCCAAAAAATTAGTTCAAGATGGTTTATACTTGTTCCTTTGTCACACTTGGATATAGAATTTGTTTGATATTTTAACTTTGCCATACTTTAACAGGAAGAAAATTCTACGAAGATAAAATGTGTTCTAGTATGTTTATAATCATCCACTCCAGTAGTTAGAATTAACAGAGGGAATGGAGAGCAAAGCATTTTAAACAACACATTTGATTTGGCAGTCTTTATTACGCAGTACCACCAGCAAAAGAGGACAAGGTGCAAGGAGCAAAAGCAAAGGTGGTTCACAAAATTTTCTGACATATTTTGTCATGGCCAATTCTAATATCGAGCTTGAAAACAGACTTTAAGAAAAGGCACTGATTTGTAATAAGAATTCCTTTTCAGAGAAAGACTCCAAGAAGCAGTTTGATCATGGCAAAACCAAGCACTTAGCAGTCACTGTGCTCAACTCACTCTTGCTGTTGGGCAGGAAGGATAAAGACAAAGCAATACAGAACCAGCCATGTATTTTCTTATGTTTAATGAAGCCAAAGACATTGCTTCATGTCAAGCTAATGCAATCTCTTTCTAAACTTTAAGAGAAAGTATTATAATCACTTAAAAGTTTGTTTTTACTTTTAGTGTAAATACACATAAACACCAGAGACAATAAATCACATCTAAAATGAAAGCCCCATGGGCAAAGGGAAGAAATTAACTGTTTGCCATGACTTAACCATTAACTATTTCAGCAAATCTGACTACTCTATCATCCTACTGGAACCAGGAAAAGAATTCATTGGGACCAGTCAACATACTCCTTTATACAGGGTGATATCACATGAACTATGTTTTCACATATTGGCTGAAAGAGAGAAATATTAGAGAAATTATATATTAAAAACCACGTGATACTTTACAAAGTATTTACTGTTTGCATAGTCCTAACTATATTTTAAATTAAACACAAAAAAGGTCAAAGGTAATAGTCCAGGATTACTACATGCTAAATTAAAAATATCGAAGAATTTAAATTACTGTTAGAGCATTAGTGTGCCACAAATCCTGAAACATCTTGTACAAAATGACTGCAGTCTTAATTAATCTTTTAAAAAATATATATTAAAATCATTTCATTTCTATCTTTATTTTTTTTTATCATAGAGAGGAATGTTCTCTCTCTCACACGCACTCACCCATACACACAGACACACACACACTGCATATACCTCTCCAAGAGCTTCGTAGCGCTTTTGGTTCCATCTGTGCAAATCTTCACGGTAGTTAAAAACAAATGGCTCACCGGTTTTTGTATGCCTTAATTGCCCCTCTATAAAAGAAACAATATTATTAGTTTTAAATCTACATTTTAAGAGTTTTAAAAGCAGAGTTAATAATTCACCGATAAAAATACAACAATGTACATCTAAAAGCAGAGTTATGGTCATTGGCTCTGTCCCCAGATATGAAACTGTCCATTTAAACCAAAAGCACCACAGCAAGTCCATCACCACATTCACTTTCAGTTTAGATTCATTATTAAATTAAAAGAAGCAGAAAAGCTGACAGACTGAGCATTAGGCCCAAATTTTCTCTAGAAACCTATCCTATAAGTAACAGTTATGTCCCAAAATATTATGAAGTAAAATAAAATGGAGATACAAATCTGATTTGTACTAACCAACTAAGCAACTGATCATCATACCCAAGGAAATCCAGATGACAAATCCACTTTACTTTACAAATCACAGAGCCTAATCTGAAATGCTGTGCCTCACTCTCTAAGAAACTGAGGAAACCCAGATCAGGGTTCTATACAGCAAACAGGAACAAATTAGCATATAGAAACACATAACAGCCATTTACCAAGAGGAAATCTCCACATCTAACTGGGAAGCCTATCACAAAATCAACAACACTTATGTTACAATTGTAGTTTTGCAGAATGGAGAGCAATCATCAGCCTTAAAAACAAAGCTGATATTATTATACAACAGGATGATAAAGGGGAGACTGTTGTCATGGATAAACAACACACTTAACAGGGAGTGCGAGTGTTGAGTTAGGCTGAGGAGGACCTATACTGTTAGTACTGGACCCATGATCTGACCATTCTCTTAGTGAGCCCAAGAAGGTGGATACTGCTTGGCCACAAGGCTGAGAAAGATCAATGTTGGGCAGCCAGTCTTTATCTTCTGGAGGTGCTGGGCATTTTGCTGCCATCTGTTCTGCAAAGACTGCTCTCATTACCACTCCCTCCCCCTCCCCACAACACACACTTCACTGTAGTTTCAAGCCTCACAGGAATATCTTTACATACTCCTGCAGCGCTCAGACCCCATCTCACACAGTTACAGGTTTTTCTTACCCTCCAACATCCAGTCATGACTGTCCTCCACCAGCCAGCCATGGTGAATTTGAAATGTCATCATCTCACAACTTTAAGGATTTTGAATTTGCCACGTCCCACTGTTTTCCTGTTAGACCCAAACCTACTCCAGAATCCATGGAATCCATTGATGAATCACCTCTGTCCTTTGGCTCCATCACCATGGAAACTGCTCCTTTGGGCTAGGGACAGACATTACACATAAACCAGTTTGAGATAAACCTGGTTGAATGTAGTATCGGACTTAACTGATTTGGCTCAAAGAGGCTTTTGCAATGTCTATCCCAGATCCCTTGCTGGTTTAAGATAAACCAGACTCCCCCAGCATCCTGGCATGCTCTCTGGGTTGGGCAGGGCTCTCTGTTCAGCAGAGCTGGCTCCTCCCCTCCATTCCCTGGCTGGAGCTCTGGCAGAGACTGCAGGCACAGCAGGATCTGCCTGGCTTCCCCCTGCCCTACTCCCTCCCCCACCCGCCGCTGTTTGCTGCTCAAGCAGGAATCCCTGCCTCCCTCCCTCCTATCTCCCACAGCACAGACCACAGGCTCATGGGACCCTAGGCACATGGTATGCTAGCTAATGCCGAGAGTTGTCTGTATCTGTGTGTCTCCAATTTCACTGGGACAGGCAAACAGAACAGTGACTGCTTAGGGCTTTTGGAGCTAATCAACAGGTTAGTTGTATGAGAAGAGTTTGAACTAATGGAGAGAAGCTATCGTTTTGCTGAAGAGGTGATAAACACTTATCAGCCCCCTACTGACTTGCTTGCCTGTCAGTTTGCTGCAGACAGTATAACAAAGCAGGGAGGGAGATTGATGATGCAGAGCTTTTCAACAGATGCATGCACTGCATCCACCCCCTCTTGCCTCAGAGTGCTAGCCCAGGGCTGGGGGGGTAACAACTCTCCCGCCCCTTGAGCAGCCCAAGGGAAAAAGCCTAGAATGGTGCAGGTAGACCACCCTAATCAGAAGTCCTGCTGGGACCTGGCCATGCCCCACTCAGCTCAGCTCTGTGGAAGGGAAGGAAGGGCTGCTCTAGTGCCCCCCAGTTTCTAGCCTGAGCCACTGCAGGCATGTGCCTGCATTTCCTCAGTCCAGAGGGAATGTCTGTCTGGTTACAAAGCAGTTCAGCCTAGCCAGGTTAGACTAACCTGCAAAGATTGAATCAATTCAGGCTCAGGCTTTTTGAATGTCTGTCCCTAGCCTTGATGGTAACTATATACACCAGGAAATCCTCCAGTTTAACCTGATTTGGTCCCCACTTTTCATTATTGTTTTGAGACTCATATCCAGCGGCAGACGCAGTGGGTGGAATGGCTCTGTATGCTGTCGCTGCTTATGTCTTGGGATGACACAGGCTGCACTTCAGAAGCCCCCAGACCCAAAACCTTCTGTGCCATCTCACTTAGCAATGTTCACCACTACCTGAGCCCCTGACATGCTGAACTCAGAAACCCGACTGTCCATGCATCCCAAGTACTGCGAACTGGCAGATTTCTTCAACAAAAACCAAGCGGATCTTTTGCCTCTCTGCTGTATGTACAACAGTCCTATTGATGTGCAGCCCTTTGAAAAAATCTACTCTGTCATACCTGGAGCTCCATAACCTAAGGGAGTATTTACAGAACAACCTGGATAAGGAATTCATTCACCTGTTGACCTCCTCAGCAGAGGCCCCTAAATCCTTTTCAAAGAAAAAATATGGTTTCTTGCAGCCTCGTATTGACTACCTGGTACTCAGTTACACCCTTCCACTAGAACTATTAGATCACCTACATGATGCCCATATCTTCACCAAGCTGAATTTACAGGAAGCTTATAATCTAGTTCAGATTCAGGATGAGCACAACCAGGATGCTCTCCAAACACATTATGGACATACTGAATACCCTGTAATGCCTTTCGGTCTCTGTAATGCTCCAAACATTCTCTCTGGACTGAGGAATAATGTATTTCAAGACATTCTTGACCAATTTGTGATTATCTACCTTGACTACGTGCTGATTTTTTCTGCGATCTAGGAAGTCCATGATCAATATGTCTATGTGGTCCTAGAGAGAGATGGTTTTATCATTTGTGTGCCAAACATGAAAAGTGTGAATTCAACTGGACTGCCATATCTTTATTAGGCTATATCTTTTCTTTGGGAGGACTAAAGGTGCCCTAGATGGGCAGCTGTCACAGGCTGAGCTTCCCCAAGAGATTTCTGTGGGATTCAATGCTTCCTGGGATTTGCTAATTTTTATTGGTAGCTCATCAAAGGTTCCTCACAAACTGTGTTCCCATTCACTACCCTCAACCAAAAGAAGGCACTATTTGTGTGAACCCCAGAAGTTCAGGAAGCCTTCCAGCACCTAAAGAAGGCTTTCATTCTAGCCCCTCTCTTTGTTCACCCTGACCCTACAAAAACCCTTCTAATGCTTCCAATTTAGGAGCAATCTTGCTGCAGGACTTGGGACCAGGAAATCTACTGCCTCTGTCTCAAGGAAGCAGACTCCCTCAGAACAAGATTATACTATGTGGGGCAAGAAGTTCCTGGCAAAAAAGCTGTGTTTGAGGAATGGTATCACTGTTTTCAGGGAGCCCGGTTTCCCATGCAAGTCCTCACCAATTACAAAAACCTTGAGTAGCTCTGTTTTGTCAACTGTATGAAGCAATGCTAGATCCACTGGTCCTTATCTTTTAACTAGTTTGATTTTGTAATCATGTATTGCTCTGGTACAGAAGGCAGGTGCCCTCTTCTGGCAAGAGGAATCCAATGTTCCCTTCCACCATCTTGAACCCATCCCACTTCTTATTTGGGACTCAGGGATAGGGATTAATGACCTTGATCCCAGATCTTTCTCTTCAGGACCTGTGTGTCAAACAAATATAACAGCAGATCCCGGTCCTAGAGCTTCCTCTGTGGAAGAATTTTCAGTTCAGTGATGGGCTAGTGATAATCTATGTTCCTGCCAGACAACCAAGGCTTGAAATCCTCCAGTTTTGTTATGATGCTCCCATGGCAGGGCACTTTGGGGTCCCCTAGACCTCTGAACTAGTTTCATGGCAGTTTTGTACAGGACATTAAAAGATATGTCAAGTCATTTGATATTTGTGCCCTCACCAATGGCCCTCATACCAAACCCCTGGGATTCTCCAACCCCTACATACCCTGACCCAACCCTGGATGACTATATCCATGGACTTTCTCAGAGTTACCCTTTTGAAGGACATACTACAATCTTCATGGTAGTGGATTCTCTAACAAAGATGGCTTATTTTATTGTTGCCCAGGTGGTCTCAGCCACTCAGGAGACCATGAAACTCTTTTCCTTGAGCATATTTTGGGTTCCACAACCTGCCAATGGAAATGTCTGGCAGAGGCCAGCAATTCATGTTTCACTTCTGGAAGGAATGTTTTGGGCTACTGAAAGTAAAACTCATAACTTCATCTGCATGCAACCCACAGGCCAATGGGCAGATAGAGTAAACCAAACACTCAAGTAATATCTATGTTGTTTCATCAGCTGTCACCAAAACGACTGGCTCACCCAGCCGCCAAGTTTACTTATAATAATGGTCACCTACTTTATCCCAAACAGTGCCCTTTTTTTTTCAATTATGGTTTTGACCCAGGTACCCACACCAATCTCCTTGTTCATCCTCCATCCCAGAAGTCTTAGGTCTTGTAATCTACATCCATCACATAAAGCATGAGTTACAACATCTACAGGAGGCCAAAGAAACTTACAAGAGGCAGACATGGTGAGCAGCCCCTGCCTTCATCATCGGTGCGCAGGTCTGGTTATCAGCCCAGAACCTGCACTCTTTCTGACCTTCATCAACGTTGGATCACTGATTCTTAGGCCCCTTTAAAATCATTGAGATCAACCTTGATGGTTACAAACTTCAGCTGTCCAACTCCATGAAAATTCACTTGGTATTCCATATCTCACTCCTTAA